ATGTGCCCTGATCAGGAATTGAACCAGTGACCCTTTGGTTCACAGCCCGCGCTCAATCCACTGAGCTACACCAGCCAGGGCAAATTTCCTCCTTTTTAAAAATATTCCATTGTGTGTACCAGGTCTGTCCATAAGGTAGCCAGCCATATATATGAAAAATACAGACATTAATTAAAGAAGATACAAGATGCAAGAACATTGTACATAGGACAATGACCCCTCAATCACCTTCAAAGTAGGCATCTTGGGACCTTACACACACCTCCCAATCACCATCAACTGCCCATCATATTTTCTTGAACTCATGGATAATCTGAAAATCTTCTCTTTCAAAGCTGATTTTAGTTTTGGTAAAAGCCAGAAGTTGCAGGGAGCCAAATATGAGCTACAGAGGGACTGAGTCACCTGAATGATTGATGCTTCACCAAAATCTCCACACTAGATATGATGTGTGAGTGGGTGCTTTGTCATGCTGGAGTTGCCAGTCTCCAGTTGCCCATAGCTGCTGCTCTCTGAATCATCTGAATAGGTTCTGTGGAGGAATGTTCAAGCTTAACACAAAATTTGATGCAGATTCATGGCTCTACTTGCTCAGTCATTTTGAATGTAACGGCCACACAGTACACATGCCCACTCAAGGGCGTCTACCACTCCCACTGACTAGTGCAGTGAAGTCGTCATGTTCACACATGAGCGTTCCAGTCCACTCTCCTTGGCACCAGGTTACCTCCGTGTCACAGACACCATTCTTTTTATATTAACAGTGGCTGGAATTTTCCCAGACAGACCTCGTATATACCATGTGTTATGTATCCACTCATTCACCAATGGACACTCGAGTTGTTTCCTTTTGGCTATTGTGAATGATGCCGTTGTAAACATGGGTGTATAAACATCACTTTGTGTCACTGCTTTAAATTCTTTGGGTATGTACGCAGAAGGGAATTACTGGGTGGTACAGTAACATGGTAATTTTATGTTTAACTTCTTGAGAAACTGTCACAGTGTTTTTCACAGTGGTTGTTCCTTCTTCCATTCCCACCCACAGTGCACAATAGTTCCAGTTTCTCCACACTCATGCCACCATTTTCCTGTTTTTGTTTCATAAATAATTGCCACCTTAATGGGTGTCAAATGGTATCTCATGGTGGTTTTGATTTGCGTTTCCTTAATGATTAGTGATGTTCAGCATCTTTTCACGTGCTGTTGGTAGATCTTCTTTGCAGAAATGTTTACTCAGGTCCTTTGCCACCTTTGCATCAGGTTGTTTGTTTTGTTGTTATTGGGTTGTAGGAATGCTTTGTCTGTTCTGGATGATAACCCCTTATCAGGTATAAATTTGAAAACATTTGGTCCTATTCCCTCAGTTGCCTTTTCACTCTGCTGATAGTGAGTTTTCATGCACAAAAGTTCTGAATTTTGTCGTAGTCCCGTTTAGTTTTTGTTGTTGTTGCCTGTGCTTTTGGGTTCATATTCAAGAAATGATAGCTAAATCCGATGTCATGAAGCTCTCCCTGTATGTTTTCATAGAAGAGTTTTATAGTTTTAGCTCTTCCATTAAGGCTTTTGATGTATTTTGAGTTAACTGTTGTATTTGGTGTAAGGTAAGGTCCAACTTCATTTTCCCAGCTGCCAGAAGGCTTGGCTGAGGCCCACAGCTCAGTTCCTCCACAGGAACTGTCCTTGGCCAAGAGAAAGGCTCCACTCTGGGGTACTTGCCCTCCCCGGGTGCTGCTGGTTGGTCACTGGAGGGATAAAGGCTTGCCTTCCTGGACTCAAGGCAGAACAACTGCCAAGTGTCCTCACAGCTCTAAAGCTCAGGGTCATTTCTCCTCCCCTTCTGCCCAGCCCGGCTCCCCTCATGTCCTCTGAGACGTTCCTGAGAGCACTTCCCAGTACATCTTCGACACGCTCATTTTACAACCTGTTTCCCAGGGAGACCAACCTAAAACAATGGTCTAAACAAACTTTTAAGAAACACTTTTTAAAGTTTTTATTTATTTACTCTTCGAGAGAGGAGCAAGCGAGGGTGAAAGGGAGGGACAGAAACACCTACGTGAGAGAGAAACATGGATCAGTTGCCTCTGGCACACCCCCAGCTGAGCACCAGCCCTACAGCCCAGGCCTGTGCCCTGACTGGGAAGCCAACCCCTGACCTTTCAGTTTGTGGGACAACGCCCAAGCCACTGAGCCACACCAGTCAGGGAAAAACGCTTTTTCAGTAGCTGTTTCAGTTATGCACTTGTTGCCTTGCAGATCCAAATCCACCTTCGTTGTCTGCTCTGTCATAGGCAGCTGGACCCTGGAGATTTCCCCTTTGCCAGCTGGCACAATATGAAGCTTTGTCCTTCCAGGACACTGGTGGGATACCAGAGGAAGAAGGGGTTCTCTTTCTGGTTTCAGGGCGCTCAGCTTGGAAGACTCTTGCAGCGTGGCAGTCCAGGGTGCCCAGCGGCTTCCTCCAGTACCCCTCGGGCAACATCATGGCAGACTGCTACCACTGAGCCAACTTCCCATGAGCAGCTTCCCCAGCACCCGTGGGTGGTTTTGCAGTGAGTTTTAAAGTGTGGCACCTCCCTTGGACAGGTTTCCTCAGTACCCCCAGAAGCCAGATTGCCAGCCCAGCACTTTATGAATTTCTTGGAGTCATCCAATGAGCCACAGCCACCTGCAGTGAGGTCCGGATCTGGGGTGTGGAGGTGCTGCTTCTTGGAGGACACTTCCTCTCAGCGGCAGGTCTAGTGGCTGTTTCTCATTCCTGCTACTCCTGAATTCTTTAGTGTTCTCTTTACTTTCTTAATATTCTTTTCCTCATTACTCAAATCCACTTTATAGTCAATAATTCTTTTTTAAATATATTTTATTGATTATGCTATTAGAGTTGTCCTATTTTTTCTCCCTTTTATTTCTCTGGTCCCTGTACCACACCTCCCACCATTATTCCCCCACCTTAGTTCATGTCCATGGGTTGTACATGTAAGTTCTTTGGCTTCTCCATTTCCCATACTATTGTTAACCACTCCCTGTCTATTTTGTACTTACCATCTATGCTTCTTATCCACTGTACCTTTTCCCCCTCTCTCCCCTCCACTTCCCCATTGATAACCCTCCTTGTGATCTTCAGTTCTGTGATTCTGTTCCTGTTCTAGTCATTTGATTAGTTTTTTGTTCATTTGTTTGTTTGTTTTTTAGGTTCCATTGTTGGTACTTGTGAGTTTGTTGTCATTTTACTGTTCATAGTTTTTGATCTTCTTCTTATTCTTAGATAAGTCCCTTTAATATTTCATATACTAAAGGCTTGGTGATGATGAACTCCTTGAACTTGACCTTATGTGGGAAGCACTCTTTCTGCCCTTCCATTTTAAATGATAGCTTTGCTGGATAGAGTAATTTTGGATGTAGGTCCTTGCCTTTCATGACTTGGAATACTTCTTTCCAGCCCCTTCTTGCCTGCAAGATTTCTTTTGAGAAATCAGCTGATAGTCTTATGGGAATTCTTTGTTGGTGACTGTCTCCTTTTTCTTGCTGCTTTTAAGATTCTCTCTTTAACTTTAATCTTGGGTAATGTATTTATGATGTGCCTTCGTGTGTGCTTCCTTGGGTCCAACTTCTTTGGGACTCTCTGAGCTTCCTGGACTTCCTGGAGGTCTATTTCCTTTGCCAGATTGGGGAAGTTCTCCTTCATTATGTTTTCAAATAAGTTTTCAATTTCTTCCTCTTCCTTTTCTCCTTCTGACACCCCTATGGTTTGGATGTTGGAATGTTTAAAGTTGTCTGAGACGTTCCTAAGCCTCTACTCATTTTTTTTTGAATTCTTGTTTCTTCATTCTGTTCCAGTTGAATTTTTATTTCTTTTTTTCTGTCCAAACCATTGATTTGAGTCCTGGTTTCCTTCCCTTCACTTTTGGTTCCCTGTACATGTTTCTTTATTTTACTTTGCTTAGCCTTCACTTCTTCTATTTTTGACCATACTCAACCATTTCTGTGAGCATCCTGATTACCAGTGTTTTGAACTTTGCTTCTGATAAGTTGACTATCTCTTCATTGCTTAGTTGTTTTTTTTTTCTGGAGCTTTGTTCTGTTTATTCATTCAGGCCATAGTTTTTTGAATTAGCACACCTGTTTGTAGTAAGGGGTGGTGCCTTAGATATTCACCAGGGTGGGACAACCCACATAGCTACCTTGTGGCACTATATGTGGGGGAGGGGTCTGAAAGGGAACAATGCCTGCTTGCTCAGTTCTTGGCAGATTTTCAGCCACCTCCCCCACTTCCCATGAGCAAATTGTGCCCTTCTGGTGCTGATTCCCCTGTGGGTGGTTTTGTGTAAGTTCTAGGACCATGTGGATCTCTCCAGTGAACTCTTCTTTGAGGCTGGGAGTTTCTCTTGCTGCCTCAACCCTCACACATTTTTTTCAGTCAAAGGTTTTGAGGCTTTATTTCCCCGTGTTGGAACCCTGGGTTGTTAGGTCTCTCTCTCTCCCCAGTTGTTCCTCCTGGTTTATCTGCACGCAAATGTGGGACCACCCAGTCCTTCAGCCACTGCCTTTCCAGGTCCTCCAGGCACTGTCTTGCTATGAGCCCTCTCCACCTCCTCCTACCGGTCTGGATGACTGTTAGCTCCTTAGTTGTTGAACATCAATACAGTTCGATTTTCTGACTGCTCTGATTATTTTTGTTTTTAAATTTGTTGTCCTTCTTTTGGTTTTGTGAGAAGGAAAAGTGTATTTACCTATGCCCCCATCTTGGCCAAAAGTGAGGTGGCATTTCGTGAAAAAGTCTGGTTTGCACAAAAGTCCATGCAAGATGTGACCACAGATGCTGTAGGAAACAGTTTCCTACTCCTGGAGCTCATTGAGACTGTATCCTTACACTGCTGAAGCCACTGTTCCCACACGGCCCCAGCTGTGCCCTGACTGGATGCTGTGACCCTGGTAGCTCGATGAGAAAGTCTGAGGCCTGGCATGCTCATAATAGGGTGTTTAGTGGGCATCTCTCGGTAATGTTTGGGCAGGTAACAGGGTGTAGCTGGAAACTTTGTTTGGCGGCTTGTGTGGGTCTTCACTAAGGCTTAGCAAGAAGTAGAGAATTTTCAACTTGTTTTTCAAAACTCCCTATAAGCCCTGGTTGGTATAGCTCAGTGGATTTAGTGCAGGCTGAGAACCAAAGAGTTGCCAGTTTGATTCCCAGTCAGGGCACATGTGTGGGTTGTGAGCCAGATCCACAGAGGGGGCCACATGAGAGGCAATCACACATTGATATTTCTCTCCCTCACTTTCTCCCTCCCTTCCCCTCTCTCTAAATAAATAAACAAACTCTTAAGAAAAAAAAAACTTCCCTGTAAATGACATTTTCTATGTAGTTCAGAAAACAATGCAGCATCTGCTTCTCTTCTTTGTCAAGCTCTTTCTTGATTTTTTTCACCTCCTAGAAAGTCATTTCTTTCAACAGTTGGGGAAAAGTTGCTGCCAGTAACTCACACAGCATACTGGAACTGTTAGGCTACGTCCCCTTCACTCTTGTCAGGAATCCAGCAGCACAGGTTCAGCAGCAGGATCTTCAGCAACTTCTGGTCAGTGGTCATCATCCTCACAACTCCCTGCCTGCCCAGCCTGAACCACCACTGTCAGGAGGCCCTGTCCTGCACCCCGCCAGCTCTAGCTCCTGGTGTCCCCAAAAACCTAAGGCCCTGCTGGAATCTTTTGCTTCTTGATAGCATGGCATTTGGGATACATAGCCAGAGCACCTAACCTCCCTTGGATTGATTATGGAGGTTTGGGGACTAATCTTGCACATTTGTGTTTGTCTTTACAAGTTCCTGCTGGACATGATCGACCTGTTTTATCTTAGGTAATGAGCCTGAATTCTGAAAAGATTTTTTTGTTTCTCACTAAGAATATGACTTATTGAATACCTGACATTTCCAAGAGTTTATCCTTTTGCAACCAGGAAGATGGGGGACTCTTGTCTGAAAGCCCATGTCAGCATCTCAGTGGCCTGGCTACTTTATGTAGGGGAACTGTGGGAAGAGAGGAATTAAGGAATTTCTGGGAATGTGCAGTTTCTCACTCTGTTCTTGGGTGGTTTCCATGGTATCTTCTGTGTGCATCATCATGTAGTTTCATTGTTCCACCTGCACTTTTACTGCTGATATTGGGAACGGGATGTGCAGGCAGCATCTCTGCTGCTTCTAATATTGTTAGCAAAGCCAACCATTGTAGGGGAGTGGGTTGTTTCCTGCCACTCACTGCCTCCCAGGCAAAACTCCAAAGACAGTGTTTGGTGGAAAAGAAAGGAATCTTTTATTGAACAATCATAACATGGAAAAATAGCTATTTAAATATTTATCATTACAACTATTACATAGATTCAAGAAGTAAAATTAACAAAAGAAGTAAATCTGTACTATTGAAGAAGGCATAAACTTTGGTCCCATTTAGGGTTTTTTCTCCCTCTATTAAACCACTGAAACTAGTGTGTTAGTCTCACAGGTCCATGTGGAAGTGGGCGGGCAGTGGCTGCTGAAAGGCCCACATCGGGGAGGGGCACAGGGCTGGCCTCTGATGGGCCCAAGCCTGCTCCCCTGTTCTCTTACTGTCCTTAAAGTTCCGGGCTCAGGGCCTCCAGCCCCCCAGTGGCTGGGAAGGATGGGGGGACTTAAAAGAGGAAACAGCATCTCTATACACTCCTATTTCATGATTTCCCCTAGAATGCCTGGAGAGGCCAGCAGGTGTTGCCCTGGTTTCCTCAGCTCACCCCCCTCCCTCATTACCAGGAGTGAGTGTCCCCTGTTGCAATATGAGTTACTGACACCTGCCCAGTTTCTTGTGCTCAGGGTCATTCCTTGGTTAAGCAGGAGCTTCAACTGCTGATGTCAATAACATACCAGGAAGGAAACATCTACTGCATGAACCTTCTATGAGTTTCTTAGTACAATTTATTCTAATCATTTCATGGTATGTCAGAGTAGTACAAAGGTTTTATTCCTGTTACAAGGTGACTTCTTGGAAGCTCAGCTTCATGTGTATGTCAAACAAGGGAACTATGTAAAAGTGAAGAGAGTCTTAAGAAAGGTCAGCTACTTTTCTTGGAGCAGTATGGCCAAGAGGAGGAAGAATGACTCTCCCATGTCAGCCTTAAAGAGGAGATCAGATTCCCAGAACTGAACTAGCACTTCTGAGTTTCCTGGGTTGCCAGGTCCCGAGACCTCCTTGGGAAGCTCTGCAACACCCCTGAACTGCCCATTTTCTTTAACACCCCTCCCCCATCCCACTGCCCCAGGGATATGGCCCAAAATCTACCTCACTGTGACGGGGAAGGGCGCTCACCAAGAACTAGTTGTCCACTCTGCAGGGGAAAAGGACCTCTTGGTCCCTGGTGACTTTGAGAAAAAGGCTAACTTTTTTAGTCACTGTCAACCCAAGTCTAATAAAGGTTCCCTAAAGAAAGTTTAGAACCTGAGGTTCGGGAGTGGTGCCTTGTTGTTAAGGGACACCTGCATGACAGGGTGGCCAATTGTGACACGGCTGGAAATTGTGACACAACTGCCAATTGCTGGCACTTGCGCAGCATGTGGCGCTGGCATCCCACTTATCTGGGTCTCTTGGCAATGCCCCACCAGCATTTATGGCTTACTGTATCTTGGACCTGTTCCTGTTATGTCCGGGCTTCCCCTGTGGGCCTCATGCCTCCTTTTCACATGGAAGCTGTTGTAGCTGCTGCTCCAGGCAGCTCCAGCTCAGCCTGTAGCCCTGGACCCTATCCTGCTGACCTCTGTTGCCCCAGGGCCCACCGAGCCCTGGCCTTCAGATCAGGAAACACACCCCATGACTTCATTCATGGCTAAAGACTTTTTTACTAAATCCAGAACCCTCAGCTCTGCCTGCAGAGGTCCCTGAGGAAACAGAAGCAGTTCCAACCTCTCAGGAGTCCCCAGCTCATCCACCAGAAGACCCTGAGGCTGGAGGACACTCTTCAACACAAGAGGACACCTCAGCTCAGTCTGCAGTGTCCCCTGAATTGGATCAATCTGCAGGTTTTTGATGGAGTGTTTAATCAGCATCAAATCTCCTCTGAAAATGTTGACATTTCAGGCGAGGAGAAGAGCTCAGCTCTGCCACAACTGCTTATTGCCAGTGTAGAACCTCCTTCAGTCCAGCCAAAGGGTCCAGCTCTACCTCCAAAATCATCTATAAACCATGAGGTGACAGTCTCGCCTCTAGATTCAAGTGAAGCTCAGTGTCCAGTGTTGCCTTACCTGAACATTACAAATGTGGATATTGGGGATTTGATAGCACCAAAGCACCCTACAAAGAGTAAACCACCTGAGACTGAGAAGGAGGCCTCAGCTGAAAAATCTACCAAAATGTTCAAACTTCCCATCTTGCTGGGTGTCCCTCCAAAGGTACCTGAGACGACAGAATTGTCTTCATTCCAGCAGAAGACCCTAGATCAGCCTGCTTCCGAGGGTAGTGCTATACCACTGCAGCAGACTATAGCTCCTCCACAGCACCCTGAGGAGAATTATCTAAATTCAGTACCAATTCACGGTGAGGAACCAACCTACACTGACGTCACAGTTCCACCTTTGAATCTGGAGCTCACCGTAACACCAGAAACTACTGTGAATGTTGAACATCCTGAAACCCAGAATAAGACTACATGTCCTTCAAAGCACCCTCAGGTGACATTTCCACATCCAGAGGCTGTTCAGTCTCGGCAACCAAGCTTGACCAATGTCACAGTGCGACCTTTGGACCTGGAGCTCACCATAACACGGGAAACTACTGTGGAGGCTGAACATCATACAAACATGAAAGAGACGACAGGTCCTCCAAAGCAGCCAGAGGTAACATTTCCACATCCAGAGCCTGTTCAAGCTCAGCAACCAACCTTTTCTGAAATCACAGTTACACCTATGAACCTGGAACTCATCATAACACCAGGGCCTGCTGTGGAAGCTGAAGATCCTACACCCCTATGGCAAACTGCAGCTCCTCCAAGGCATCCTCAAGTGATATTTCCACAACCAGAGCCTGTTCAGGCTCAGCCACACATATTCTCTGATGTCAGACTTCCCCCTGTGGTCCTGCAGCTCACCCTACGACGAGAAGCTGCTGAGGAGGCTGAACATCACACAACCCTGAAGAGGACCACACCTCCTCCCAAGCAGGCAGAGGTGACATTTCCACATCCAGAGCCTAGTCATGCTCAGCAAACCACCTTCTCTGAGGTCAGAGTTGCACCTTTGAACCCGCAGCTCACTGAACTCCAGAACCTCCTGTGGAGGCTGAACACGCTAGAGCCCTGCAGCAGACTGCAGCTCCTCCCAAGCACCCTCTGGTGACCCTAACGGAAGTCACAGGTCACGGTGCACAGCTGGAGTTCATCAGAACTCAGCAACCAGAGACATCTGAGTCAGGGGCCCCAGTGAGCGAACAGAATGCCGTCATGAACATCTGCGAGCTCTGCACCTGCAGCAACGAGACGCTGTCGTGTACGGGTCTCAGCCCGAAGCAGAGGCTCCACAGGGTGCCTGTGCTGTACCCACAAACCCACAATGGCTCCTTCACCCTCTTAAATTTCAAAGGAAACTCGATTTCTTACATCGACAGAGATTCCTGGGAGTCATACCGGTGGGTGGAGAAACTAATCCTCAGTGAGAATTACTTGACTGAATTGCACAAGGATTCATTTGAAGGCCTGCTATCCCTCCAGTACTTAGACTTATCCTCCAATAAAATACAGCTTATCGAAAGGAATACATTTGAATCCATGCCTTTTTTGCAACAGATAAATCTTCATAACAATCTAATCGCTAACTTGAGATTTGGAACGTTTCAGGCCTGGCATGGAATGCAGTTTTTACACAGGTTAATTCTCAGTCACAATCCACTGACCACTGTTGAGGATTCGTATCTTTTTAAATTGCCAGCATTAAGATATTTAGACATGGGAACAACGCAAGTGTCCCTCATAACAGTTGAGAGCATCCTCCTGATGGCCCTTAAATTGCGAAAACTGATCCTACCTAGCCATCTGGCCTGCTGCCTCTGCCAGTTCAAAAGCAGTATTGAGGGTGTCAGCAAGACAGTCAAACTGCACTGTGACAGTGACTGTCTGACACACACACAGTGTGATGAAGAACTGTACTTAGGAAAGGCGGAAGGCTCTCTCATGACAGTTTTACAAGGCCGGGAGAAGCGCAACAGCCCTGAGCTGACCATTGAGCCAGAGAGGGCGTCCCCAGGAGAAGAAAATGGTGGCAGCTTATCAGCCTTCATGAACCTCCTGATGAAGCTCCTCACTGCACAAGAGGAGGTTAAGGTCTCCAAGGCAGACTGGGACACGGATCACTGGGGAGATGAGAGGACCGAGGCCCAGGGTGAAGATGAAGAACAGGAGTCACGTGAGTTCAGGGCACAAGTCCCAGGCTACGGGTATAAGAACAAACTCATCTTGGCAGCCCCTGTGATTGCAGTAGCATCAATTTTCTTGGTCATTTTCTGTCTCATGGCCACCTGTCAGAGAAGAACAGCAGAGGAAGGCAAAGAAGGAAGGGGCTTTTTCTCAATTTTTGCACACAAGAGCCGCTCAGCAGAACACGAGATGGAGGAGGGCGGTTTCCAGAGAAGGTGGCCGCTTTGGCTGTGGGATATGTATTGGCCTCTCAACGCCACGCACAAGGGAAATGTGGGACAGAGTGTACACCACAGTATGTCTGATGAGGGTGACATGGAGAAGGGTGAAGCCTCCATGTCAACAGCCAAGGCTGCTACATCAGAATCGGCTGCTGAGGAGACAGCTGAAGAGAGTGATGCCTGACACCGCCACCCTGTGAACCCCGTCCTCGGGGGACCTGCCAGTTGTAGCCGGGAATGTTGTGTGAGCACTGCTGATCAAATACATTGTATTCTTCCATTAATCCGTGTCATAAATTCATGACCAACTCTGGCCATGAGGTAAAAAATTAAAATGTGAATGGATCAGCATTTATGCACAAATAACTAGGGCTATGGGGAAGGAAAGCAGGGCTGAAGGTGGAATCCCTGGGGTAGCCAGTATTCTTCAGAGGGAGTGTGGTCAATCATGCGTGAATGTTACCAACACCCCAGAAGGGGTGCAGGGGGTGCTCCTGTTGCTGCCTACCTGGCAGATCTCCAAAGTCAGAGTTAACTGAAACAGAAAGGAATCTTTTATGCAACAGCAAGTTTGTGCCTAATTATTGGGTAACCAATGAGGGGAAGGAAAAAGAGTGTGACCTCGAAGAGCTACTTAAATATTTGTCATACAACCACTAGGCTCAAGAACTGAAAATATGACAAGAGCAGAAGTTTGTTCACAGTGCACATAGTCATCACCAAGGGCTTTGTCAGTAATGGCAATGGAACTCAAAGCCTGATCCCTCTAAGATACCCCACCCCCCAAATCACCCTGTCACCCTCTGCCAGCTCAGTTCAGATTGCACCGGGAACCTCTTCTCCCACCCAAAAGTCACATAGACGTAGGTGACTTAGCCGGTGTCCAGTCACCGTCCAGCTTCAGGCATGTCTTGCAGTTGGTGCCCCGGGCCACTGCTCACTGGCCTGCACAGGGCTCCATTGGCACACCAGCTGCTGACCACTGACACACCCCACCAGGGGAGGGGAAAGAAACGACCACATTTTGCTTCCAAACTCACTCACTTTCAAAAGATCTGGCCCAGAATCCCATGTATGCCCAAAGCCTGTGGGAATCTCCAGCTTCCCACCCATGACAGCCAGTGTCAGCCATGTCTGCCTTTGCCCCTCTTCCTCCTGCCACAGTAAGCAAGCGGGCAACGTCTGCATTCACACAGGCTCGGCTCAGACCCTTCCCAACTCTGGAGGTTTGTCCCAACTGTAGATGAAGAGGGGCTCCTCCTCCTCATTTCCCCCATACACTCAGTCCCTCAGAACTGGAAAACACATCATCCTCAAGGGGTGTAGGCTTTTAAGTGAAATAACAGCTTATTCTGGTTCTGTGAGCCCTGGCTCACGAGGTGCCAGCTGTTTACAATGTACTTGCCCTCCCCTCTCCCCTCATCCACCTGCAGCCCCTCTCCTGCAGTCTCTGGGGTTGTCAGAATACCTGATCCCTGAGCCTACCTGCAAGTTGGGGCCTGAGTGTTCCCCCAAGCTCTTAAACTCACACACAAATGTGTGCCCTGTCTTGGTTTAGCAGGTTCTGCACCCTTACCAACTAGTGGAAAATGCACATTAGGTATTTTTGTTTCATTTCTTAATTTAAAAAACTAGCAACTGTTGGATAGCTAGCAGGGAGGTGCTGGAGAGACAGGGTAAAGGAGAATGTATGAGAGCAAGAATTACCCACGACTTCCCTCCTGAGGCCTGCATTTTAGAGAACATATGGGTGGGGCCCCTTCTCCATTCACTTGTCCTGCCTCAGCTCCTCCTGACCCAGCTGAGGGTCAGGTGTGTGCTGCGGGGCTCCCTCCAGCTTAGCCCAGATCCAGAGATACCCACTTGTGTCCATTGCCAGCACAGACCCCTGGCTGCATGATTCCAAGTGATTGTGCTGAGGGAATGCACAGGTTCCTCTACTCCTCCTGCGGAGAGTCATTACTCAGTCACACTTGGTAAGTCAGTGAGACTTAACTGCTCGAGCAAGTAAAAGAAATTCTGAACAAACAAGGTTTAACATTCGACCTGAATGACCACAAATAGATGTTGGTGGTTAAGTACCTGGTGTGAAGAATGGTGCCAACCAAGCATGGGACAAAAGCACAGCGCCCCCCAAGTGGAGCACGGGGACTGGGACACAGCCCAGCATGTTTGGTGGTGGGAGAAAGCAGGGACATGCAGAAGTGCAGCTCCCTGTCTGTGTTCTGGGAGGGCTCTTTGTGGAGGAGGCAGCTGCTTTGGCTGAGGGATCTCTGCAGACCTGTCAGAGACACCGGCAGGAACAACATGGCACAGAAAGTACACAACAAGGCTCCATCTGATGGGCATGAGATTTTCAATAAGGATGAAGGGTAAATCACTGGGACAATTTAGAATTCTTACCTAAAATGGTTAGAAGGATTCCAGGCAGAGTGAACAGGCCTTCCCTTTATTAGCTTGCTGATGCTGTTGTCTCGGTGTCTGCCCAAGTTACCTCCCAAAGTTTCTTACTGAGAAGGGAAAACAAGTGTTTTTCTCTGTGTTGACCTGAGAGCCAGCAAACATTTGCTGTGTTTCTAGCACAGCCTGGCAATGGGGACCAGTGAAGTGCTGAGAATTCAGGAGGTGAGGAGAAGGAAATGGGGGAGTCCTGCGCATTCATTCCCTGTCCCCTTTCCATAGCTCAGCAGACAGCTAGCTCAGCAGGTACCAGCGAGCAATGGAGAAGTAGAGGCCCCTTCCTAGGGAGATCATTTCGTTCATCAAGCAGCTTCCATGTGGGTGATGCGAGATGTTCCCTGCCTCCCCTTTCCTATAAAGCAGACGCATTCTGGGCAGGCTCCCTCTCTACAGGAGCTCTAGCCATGGGACACGTGGTCCCATGAAGTCAGGCCTCATCCCCTGTCTGAAAGCTTGGGGATGAGTAAACTCTGTTGTTGCTCTGCTTGCAATCCCCCAAACAGCAAAACCCTGCTTTACATTTGCACATTTGTCCTCTTCCCATGACAGGGCGTCAACCTATTTTGTACCCATGAAAGTCTATGGCTGGATGGCATGGCAGATGTTGTGGTAAAAGGGAAGACTTGGGGCCTGGGGCCAAAGCCCCTCCCACTATGAGGGCACCATGCATGAATCTCCCAGCACAGAGGGTCTCGGTTTGTCTAGCTGAACCCCTACCCCACCACAGTTTACTGCTGATCTGCTGCTATGTAATGCATCACATGAAAACAGCGGCCTGAAACAACAGTAAATGTTCCTCACAGTTTCTGCGGGTCGAGGGCTTAGGAGTGGCTGGGGCAGTTGTGGCTCTGGGTCTCTGCTAAGGTTCTCAGGAGCTTGGCCAGGGCTGAAGTCATCTAAAGGCCAGGTGAGGAGGGTTGGAGGGTCCCTTTCCAGGTGGGTGTGGTCATGTGGCTGCCAATGTGGTGCCAATTGTTGGAGGGAGGCCTCAGTTCCTCCCCATGTGGATTTGTCTCTCTTTGTTTGTTTGTATATGCACAGGCTTTCTTTGTATATACACAGAATTTGGTGATGTTTGGTGTTTTGGGTGAACGAGTGCGTTGGCTGTTAGACAGCAGTGGAAGCGTTATTTTTGTGCTATTTATACTTTCATTATTTCTTTTTCATTGTGGTAAATATATAGATTCCATAAAATTTACCACTTAACCATTTCGTGTGTACTTCTGTGGCATCATGTGCATTCACTGTGTTGTACAGCCGACTCCAGCACCCCTGTCCGGAACACATTTCATCTTCCACCAATGGACTCTACCCAGTCCTGCTCCCCAGCCCCTGGCCACCATCTCTCCACTTCCCAGTCCTGTGAACTTGGTCCCTCTGGTACCTCATACAGGTGGGATCATGCTGTGTTTGCCTTTTTGTCTTTGACTTCTTTCTCAGGGCACAGTGTCCTCCAGGTTCATCCCTATTGTAGCCTGTGGGGGCGCCGAATAATAGTCTACTGTGTGGGCCATGTCCTGTTTGTCCTTCCTCCCCCCGCCCCCCCCCCCCGGGGGTTCCTGCCCTTCCCCCTGTTTGTCTTTGTGGAGAAGGCTGCTGCCAACCTGGGGTGCGAACATCTCTTTGAGATCCTTGTATCTTCAAATTGTGAAAGTATATGCATGTGCTACTTGTTTGAAAAACAAAATTAAAATTCCCTGGGTAAAATACAAAATTAAAGCAGCTAAAGGGGTTCATTACCACCAAACCAAACAACATATGCCCCTGACCCATGGACACAGACTACAATAAGGGGATGGCCCGAGGGATGGGTGGTGCTGGGTGGGGATGGGCAATGGGGGAAAAAGGGGAACAATTGTTATAGCATAAACAATTAATATAATAAAAAGAAACTTTAAAAATCCTCTTCCGTATCTGGTAACTGTAAAAAATACGAGGCACCAAAGTAAGCTTATTCTCTTCCCCAAACCAGGTCTTCTGGGCTTTCTCTTCTCAAAATGGTATTGTATCCTCCTGATCAGCTCGTTATCAGACAGAGCTGGGGAAGGTGAGGTATGCAAGCTGCCCAGGGTGCAAATTCCAAGGAGGTGCTAACTCTCAAGGTCAGCTTTGCTCCTGAAACCCTGTATCAAATCCAGCACCAGCTCTAGTCCCATCTCCCTCCATGTGAACTCTCCTAGCCATTCCTGGGTGCATGGGTGGTGCTTGGCAGGCCAGGCTGATGTGAAGGATCAGGGAAGTAGCTCCTTTCTAGTTTCACTGTAGCTGCTTTAGTAGAGTCCTAGTCAGTTCACACCTGTTTGCTCTTGGTTAGGGCACAGTTGTGTTTGTGGGAGTCTCTGAGATCTGGAGAAAAAGACCAAGCCCCTTGGCATTTCTTTCCCATGTGATCTGGACCCAGCCCTTCAGCCTCACCTGGCACAACCATTCCCGCCCCAAGCACCTGACAACCAATTCAGCTTATTACTCAGACTAAGGCCATGCACTTCCATGTCTTAGCACCTTGCTTCATGTTTTCTTTGCACTGGAATGAACCTTCTCCTCATGCGAAATCCAGATTGGGACCCATCCCCAAAGTCCACCTTCTCTGTTGATGCTACTTGGTGCTGCCCTTTACTTCCTTAGCATTTGCACATCACCACCTCCCATCTCCCCCATCTTGGCTGTTGGTGCAGTGTCCAGTTGCCCTGTGGTCTCCATAGTGCTTAGAAACCTATGCACAAA